CGTTAGTTAATTTTGTTTTGCCGTGAGTTAATTTTGTTTTGCCGTGAGTTAATTTTGTTTTGCCGTGAGTTAATTTTGTTTTGCCGTGAGTTAATTTTGTTTTGCCGTGAGTTAATTTTGTTTTGCCGTGAGTTAATTTTGTTTTGCCGTGAGTTAATTTTGTTTTGCCGTGAGTTAATTTTGTTTTGCCGTGAGTTAATTTTGTTTTGCCGTGAGTTAATTTTGTTTTGCCGTGAGTTAATTTTGTTTTGCCGTGAGTTAATTTTGTTTTGCCGTGAGTTAATTTTGTTTTGCCGTGAGTTAATTTAGTTTTGCCGTGAGTAAAGTTTGTAGTGCCGTGACTTTTTGTTTTGCCGTGACAGTTGTGGGCCACCGTACATCACAAGGGTCCTTCAGGAAAAACAAAATGGATTGCGAAATTTGATTACTGTCGGCGGATTCTTGATATTTATTAACAGCGGCTCTTAAATAAAGTAAAAGTCACCTTTTCTGAGGGAATGCTAACTTTAGTGATGACATCAGAAAGGCCAGAAACACCTATAAAGAGGAGGAGATGTCAATACAACTGTTCATTTCAGATGGAATGTTTATATGAAAAGCACGTGAGAATCTTCCTCAGTGACAAAACAAAACACACCTTTGGATAAAAAGTGGGTTAAGTTCCCAGCATAGTGGAAGTATACATATTGGAAGTTTATTGATTGAAATAGCCATCACCGGAGAGATTAGTACTGAAAATCGTTAAAGGACGTTGGAAAATCTTCTTTGGAAATTACCACAGACTTATGCAATTAACATCAAGAAATTTAGTCATGCTACTCTGCTCAATTAGTTCACGTAGTTAGACAAGAAATCGATAATACTCATTGTTATGTACTATAATTTAAGAATCTAGGCAGATATTTTATTCACAATTAGCCATTTCTAGATTCAATGATATTTTACAGTAGCAGGGTGATGGAGTTGAAGTTCGAAGCAGAAGCAATACGCTATTGAATTAAACAGTGAAATAAGTTCGTGAACTGCTATTTTCCGTGCTACCTCAAAGTTGAGGTTTGACTTTTAGGAGGAAATATTACCTTATACTAATGTAATGTGTTAGAAGGTGTTATTAGTCTAATATCTTATTACGCACGATACACAAATTCTGGTGGTAAGTTCATTGAATCACCAATACAACACATAAACATTTCCAAGAAATTATGCAGCTCCAAAGCGAAGTTTTGATAATACAACACAATGCCAGTATATAAGTTCTTTCAATATACCCTAGTCCCAGAGGTTCTCTTCTCTCTAAACAGATTGGATAAATCTCTTCTCCCTAAAAAAATCGGCGCCAAGCGCCGACAACGAGCTGCGGAGCAGCGAGCAGTCGAAAGAACCTCTGGTGGAGACCGTTGAGAACCTCACTTTGGTGCGTTCAGCTGATGATCGTCGCGATCTGATTGGCTATTATTTTTCAATACCTGTGATTGGCCAGTGAAAAAATATGTGGGGGAGGGTGTGGTATTGCGATATCGTACCGAGGGACCGGACAGTTGGTAGTTTTTGCATTGCCAATATTATACACACGGGAGTGTGGCAAGTATCACACCTCAAGATCACATTGCTCTACGAGACTTGTAAACACGCTTTAAAAGAAGACAAATGTCAGTATATTTATCATCAGAACATGGTGTTATCGGAAAGTTATTTTGACACAATAGCTCGTTTGATTCTGGAGAATCGTTTTCCAGAGATACTTCAGCTCACAAATGAACAAAACGACGCTTTCTTTGCTTTGCTTAATCATGAAGATGTGTTCGCCATCTTGCCAACTGGTCATGGCAAGTCCATAATTTTCCAGTTGCTCGCTGACTTTTGCCATGACCTTTCTCTCAGAGGATAAGACTATCCTCGCAATGCGATCGTGCTGGTAATTTGGCTACTGAAGTCAGTCACTGATTCGCATATAAGAAAATATCATACTGTGAACGGCCAGTGATCTTTATGTTTTCTCTACAAACTCTGCAAAAATCGTTTGGTCGATTGCTGAAGCGCTTGATAGGAGTGTAATTAGTTCTATTCATAAATACACCGTGGAAATATAAAGTTGAAAGTCAATTTCTTTTTCGAAACACGGTGGAGAACTGTCGCACGTGTAGCAGTATTTTAAAAGATAGTAAATTCAAATTAAAACATTGGCGCTCCCATCCCCTCCAGAGTAGTTTTATATCTAACAAAACATTCCCGAAAGCCCCCTACCCTAAGTTTTTTTTTTGTTTGATACTGTTGAAAAGTGATAGATTTGATGAGGTGTCAAAACAGCTGAATGCACCAAAGTGAGGTTCTCAACGGTCTCCAGGACTGTTTCTCCAATTTTTATAGATGGTGGAGTTTAAACTGTGTCTTTTGGAGAGGGTTGGAAGAGAACTTGAGTTTTCTTGGCATTTATCTTTAAGCCGAGTTGTGTATATGCATAGTTAAAAGCATCCAGTATAGTTTGTAGATCTTCCTCAGTATGTGCTGCTATGGCATTGTCATCTGCATACTGGAATTCGACCATTGCAGATTTAGAGATCTTACTTTTTGCCCGTAATCTTTGCAAGTTGAAAAGTTTTCCCTCAAAGCGAAATGCAATTTCATTCAACTGTTCTGGTATTCTTGGGTATGCAATGAGGAACACGACTGATATAAAGATGGAAAACAGTGTTGGCCCCTTTAGACAACCTTGTTTCACTCCTATCTTTACTTCAAACGGTGTGGAATTACCATCGTTTACAAGCACAGTTGTTGTCATCTGATCATGCATTAGTTTTATCATATTGATAAATTTCCGAGGACATCCAGATCTTACCAGCACATCCCAAAGCAGCTCTCTAGCAACAGTATTGAATGCCTTTGTGAGGTCGATGATTGCCAGGTATAGTGGTTTGTTCTGTTCCATGCACTTTTCTTGAAGTTGTCTCACAGAGAAGATCATGTCAGTTGTTCCCTTATTTGGTCTGAAACCTGATTGACTTTCTGGAAGGATTTTCTCTGCGATACCTTGGAGTTTCATATTAAGTACGCTTGATAGGACCTTACCGACAGTGCTCAAAAGCTATATTCTTCTGTAGTTACCACATTCTGACTGATCACCCTTTCGCTTGTAAATTTTAACTATATTAGCATTTTTCAGTTCAGGTGGTATTTTTTCTTCTGCCCAGATTTTGATAATAAGCTGATGAAGTTGTTCTTGTAACTTTTCACCACCATATTAATATATTTCAGCTGGTATACCATCATGAAGATTTACAACATGAACTAGACGGCTTGCATGATCCATAATAAATACCATTTTCATTCTTAACATAGCCTTCTTTACTTCATCTAGAGTTGGTGTGTCACATAGAGACTGTTTGATAGGCTGCTGTGTTATAAGATTGATCACATCTGCATTGTATGTGGTCTCTTGATTAAATAGGCCTTCAATAGTACTTATTCGAAAAGATATTTTGTCGGGGCAGTCCATATTGAAGGGCGGTCCATTTGGGTAGTCCGCTGGGTGGTCCATGGACTGGGGTGTCGGTGTTGTTTTTTCAAATAAAGTCATGTAATAAGGTTCAAATCAAAGTTATTTCTTTGTCAATGAACGGGGGTATTCCAATCGTTTTTTGGTACATTTAGAGTTTTATATTTAATTCCAAAGACGACGTAGAGTCGAGAGTCTCCCAGAGGTGATTTTGCAGGACACAAATTTACATTTTTCTCCACTGTCTACTTGGCTCCTATATATTTTAAATGGTGGTCAATTCCAAAAAAGGTTGGTCGCCATTTTTTATTAAGACACTGTACAAGACATTCATCCCTTCAAAAGCGAGTAGGGACTTGTCAGCAATCACAAACAAATAATATCGACACCCTTTCCTTTCGAATCGAGGACAGAATTGCTCCTGAATTATACAATCACCAGCTGACTCCAACCTCCACTGACTTAAATAATTTTTTTCCCTTAGGAGTTCGAGTAAGCAGGGTTCTACTGTAGATATTAAATAATAACTAAGTTAGAAATAATTTATCCAAAAGATGGGTTGAAATGTTTTCTTATAATTTAAGTCGCTCCTTTATGCCTCACTTGTTTCTAAAATATCATTATTCTTTATCGTTAATGCCATGAATGTATATCAATGAAGATTTACAACATGAACTAGACGGCTTGCATGACCCATAATAAATACTACAAGATCGTGAAACCATCGCAGTATACAATTCAAGAACGCCCTTTTTATGAGAAATACATACAATGTGTTCCGATAGACCCTTTGTTACAACGAACTGACTGGAAGCCTTCTACAATAGCTGGTGTATAAGAAAAACTAATCGGGCTTCTAAATTGATAAAGAAAAAGCTCTGCTATCATTCGATGAAACTGCCAAAAACGCATAAATATTGCATTGTTACAAAAGTTGTTTTTCAATTTCCTGCTATTTGATTTGTTTCTTTAAACAAGTGATTGGTTCAATGAATTTGGATATACTTTTGAAAATCATACATGTGTACTGCGGTTTTAAGAAAAGTATGAAAGCGATCCTCGCAATATTGGATACTACTTATGCAGTAGTGAAAATAAGGCCTGAAGAAAATTCATTTCTTTCGTACATTTCTTAAAACCACAGTTCACATATGTGATTTTCATATATCCAAGTTCAATGATTCATCCCTTCATCATCTTGTGAATACTAAACATGTATATGCAGGACTGTATCAATCTCTTACTGATACGACCACCTCCCGTAAGCGACCCTGGACTTGACATTTCGGGTGGTCCTTTCATAAATGGCTGCCGGATTAATATTCTTTTGTTTAAATTTAAATTAGCCTTTCTGGCCTCGCTTGAGATAATGTATTCTTTTGAATTTTGTACTGGAGAACGAGGCCAGAAAGGCTAATTCAAATTTTAACAAAAGAATATTAATCCGGCAGTCATTTATGAAAGTGGTGAATAGTTTGATCCAAACTATAGTCGAACCTACCGTAGGTAGGATCGCTATGAAAGAAACAGGACACTAGAATGGGTCGAACACAACAGGCAATGTTACCCAAACCCAAGATGGCGCCTAGTGAATCGTAAACGTGCACAGGCTGCGTTTCGGAAATAAACATAACGAGGAAGTTTGCCGTAGATTTATCTTTACAAATCCTTACATCTACTAATTCTCAAGGTAAGGTGCGATGAAGCTGCAGACTAGTCGTCTATTTGGCGATTAATTTCCGGGATTTAGTCAAAAGTGAAAAATTAAGCGGTGAGTACAAAATGCAGACTAGGTACAAAATCCAGGCTAGAGACCCGGTACAAAGTGCAGACTGAGAATGAAAACTGTTTTTTCGTCTGATATGTGATGACGTGTTTTCTTGCAACTTAACAGAGTGTCACGCAATCGCTTTTCCGCGATCACCTTTCGCGACCATTTGCACTATTGTGGAATATTCCTTTACCGTTTCCTCGTATATTTTGTTTTTAACTAAACGTCCAGGCCACAATCATTCTTAAATGCAGTTTCAAGCCCTCATGTCTT